AGAACCATCAGAAGAGAATGTAATTAGACATTCATCCCGGCTATGTCTCTGCACAGCTCAAGCTTCTCCCGAGTGACGACCTTTGTTAACATGTCTGCTGGATTCTCCTTTGTGTGGATCTTCATTAGTTTCAATAACTGTTGCTCCATCACTTCGTGTATCCAATGATAGCGAATATCAATATGCTTCGTCCGGGAATGGTACATTGAGTTCTTGCTCAAGTCCAGAGCACTTTGACTATCGCAATGCACCTTGTATTCCTTCTGCTTAATACCTAGTTCTTGGAGAAACCGTTTTAACCACAACATTTTCTTACCAGCTTCTGCTGCTGCAATATACTCTGCTTCTGTCGTGGACAAAGCTATGCACTTTTGCAACCTTGATTGTCATGACACAGCTCCCCCTGCAAAAGTGTACAGAAATCCTGATGTAGATTTTCTACCATCAAGATCTCCTGCCATATTTGAATCTGTATAGCCTTCCAAAACTGGTTCGACTCCCCTATAACACAGACATATCTTCGATGTACCCTTAAGGTATCTGAGAATTCACTTGACCGCCCCCTAGTGTTCTTTCCTTGGATTGGAAAGGAATCTGCTCACCATACCCACTGCAGGGGCAATATTTGGCCTTGTACACACCATTGCATACATTAAAATCCCAACTACTGAAGAGTAAGAAATCAGTGTCATATCTTCTATCTCCTTCTTTGATGAGGGACAAAAATTCTTGCTCAGCTTGAAATGATTAGCTAGTGGGATGCTGGCTGGCTTGGCAGTATCCATGTTGAACCTCTGGATCACTCGTTCAACGTATTTCTCTTGTGATAGCCACAATTTCTTGATTTTCCTATCACGAACAATCTGGATGCCTAATATCTGTTGAGCTGGGCCTAAGTCCTTCATGTCAAAGGACTTGGACAGTTCCTTCTTCAACTGGCTAATCTTTATTACATTCTTTCCGATGATCAACATGTCGTCAACATAAAGTAGGAGTGCAACGAAATTGCCATTTGAGAATCTCTGAACGTAAACACACTGATTTGCAGTAGTCCTCTTGTAGCCTTGACCCACCATGAATGAGTCAAATTTCTTATACCACTGTCGGGGCGCTTGTTTGAGGCCGTATAGACTCTTCTTCAACTTGCAGACCAGATTTTCCTTTCTTGGAACTTCGAAACTTCCGGTTGTTCCATATAGATTTCTTCATTCAGTTCTCCATGAAGAAATACAGTTTTCACGTCCATTTGTTCAAGCTCTAAGTTTAAATTGGCTACTAATTCGAGAATGACTCGAATTGAGGTCATCTTAACAACTGGTGAGAAAATCTTGTCAAAGTCAATACCTTTCTTGTGTTGGAATCCTTTAACGACCAATCGAGCTTTATACTTCACCAATTTCCCACTGCCATCTTTCTTCAGCTTGAACACCCATTTATTCCTCAGTGCTTTCTTGCCTTTTGGAAGTTTCACAAGCTCATAGGTTTGATTTGTCTGCAGGGAATCCATCTCATCCTGCATGGCTTGCATCCACTTGTCTTTATCCGTATGAGCTTGTGCCTCCTGGAAGCTCTCCGGCTCCCCCTCATCAGTAAGCAGAATATAGTCTAATTCTAGATATTTACTCGACAGAATGCGTCCTCTTTCGGATCTTCGTGATTTAGGCTCGCCAACTATATGAGGCACACCATCCTCTGGTTGCTGTGATAGTCCTGCAACATCTGGTGGAGGGGATTGTTGCTTCCCCTGCTCAACACCTTCATCATCATCTTGCTCTGCTTCTGTAGTTTTATCCTGCACTTTGTCATTATTTGTGGCGAACTGTAATGGTGCAGGGTCTGAAACAATTTCCTGTGCACTGGAACTAGAATTATTGGATTTTGTGGGATTTTCAAAATCCTCATATGCCTGATTTTCATGGAACACCACGTCTTTGCTCCTGATGATCTTTTTGGCCTTTGAGTTCCACAATCTGTATCCAAATTCTTCAGCTCCATAGCCTATAAAGATGCACAAAGCGGTCTTGATGTCAAGTTTCTGCCTTTGCTCTTTGGACACATGTGCAAATGCTTTGCACCCAAAAATTCTTAAGTGAGAATAGGTAGGATTCCTACCAGACCACACCTTCTCAAGAATATCAAAATTCAATGGTACTGACGGTGATCTGTTTATCAGATAACAGGCGATACAAACAGCTTCACCCCAGAATGGCTTTGGCAGCTTTGCCATACTGAGCATGCATCGAGCTCTTTCCACAATGGTTCGATTCATCCTCTCCGTTACTCCATTGTGTTGTGGGGTACGTGGAACAGTCTTCTCATGTCTGATACCATAATTTCTATAGTATGCTTCAAACTCTCTGGAAGTATATTCGCCTCCATTGTCTGTTCGGAGACACTTTAGCTTCGTTCCTGTTTCTCGCTCTGCCATGACATGAAATCTTTTGAAGCATTCGTGTACTTGGTCCTTCGTCTTTAGGAAGTACACCCATACCTTCCGTGAAACATCATCAATAAAGGTCAAAAAATATCTGTTGTCGCCCAATGATTCCACCTCTAGAGGACCACAAACATCAGAGTGTACCAGGCTTAACAACTCTGATTTCCTCTTCATAGAGGAACTAAACGAGATTCGATGTTATTTACCAAACAAGCAATGATCACAAGGATTTAGTGCAACATCCTTGGCAACTGTGATGAGATTCTTCTTTGCCAAGGTAAACAATCCTTTGTCCCCTATGTGACCAAGTATCTGGTGCCACAGATTTGGTGAAGCCTCATTTTCAACTGCATTGAGGCTGTCTGAGCAAACCTTCACATAGGTCTTGTAAAGCGTGCCACAAATATGTCCTCAGGTGACAACCAAGGCACCTTTCGTGAGCTTCCATATGCCATTGCTGAAGTGGTTATCGTAGCCCTGTCTGTCGAGGGCTATCCCGAAAAATAAATTTAACCGAAGGTTAGGCACGTGTCGAACATCCTTCAATACCAATGTACACCCAACATTTGTTTTTATCTGAATATCACCAATTCCCATGATCTTGGAAGAACTAGTGTTTCCCATCCTCACCGTACCAAAGTCTCCGGCTTTGTACGTCGAGAAGAAATCGCTGTGAGAAGTGCATGGTATGAAGCTGCAGTATCTACCACCTACTCAACGTCATGGTTGGAAAAATGAAGGCATGTCTCCTCATTGACAGAAAGGATAGCCACGACCTCTACGAAAGTGACTAGTGTCTCTGCGTCCTGTTTCTTCGGCTGATTACTGCCTTAGCCTTGCTCTCGTAGCAACTTGTGACAATTTTTCTTCATGTGGCCTTGCAAGCCACAATGGTAACACTTGTATGTAGGTCTTCCTCTGTCATTTGATCTCCCTGGATCTTGTGACTTTTCTCTACTCTGACTTCTTGCTCTTCCCCTGCCTCTGCTCTTAATGACGAGGGCATTTGACTGGTCAATGCCAACATCCTTTCTTCTGGCCTCCTTATTGAACAGGGCATCCTTAACCATTGACATGGTAAGTTTGCCTCCTGGAGCCGAATTGCTGAGAGAGACTACCAGCGTCTCCCAACTGTCTGGTAGAGAACTGAGAAGTAAGAAAACTTGTACTTCATCTCCTAGATTCAACTCGATCGATGATAATTGATTTAACAAACTCTGGAACTCACTAGTGTGCTCGGCAATTGAAATTCCACTTTTTAACTTCAGATTCACAAACCGCCTCATCAAAAGGGCTTTATTCCAAGCAGTCTTGGCCTGATACATGTCTTCCAACTTCTTCCAGAGGACATGTGCATCAGTCTCTTCTGCAACACAGTGGTCAATCCATTGCCTGATTTGACCGATGGTTTTTCTGTTCAGTTTCTTTCACTCCGTTTCTTTTGTCGGATCTGGATTTACACCTTCTGCCTCCAAGGGATCGTACAAGTCTTTACAACTTAGGAGATCTTCCATCTGAGGTCTCCAAAGTGTATAATTAGAGGCAATGAGTTTGATCATGGCTCCCAATGTTGATTCCTTTGTGGGCATACTGAGTTTTTAGGCTCTAAATGTCTCAATCAAAAATTTTGGGGTTGAATTTTGTAAAACAGAGTGCACCGTTGCGTCCGAAACGATTGAAATAGCTGGGAACGAGTCTTCATTCACAAAAAACGGAGCTAAAATGAGCTCAGAATTGACTCAGAAAGTTTTTGCTAACTTAATAGAATATTCCGTTAAACTTGACAGAATATGCTGACGGTGACAGAATATTCCCTGGATGGAATATGCTTTGGGAATATGCTTTAACTAAGATAGAATATTCTTTAATGGAATAGAATATTCCGTCGTCTTCAACCTTCCTCCAGTCACCGGTTCAGCGAACTTTCGACAAAAACTCCGACGAGCTCTGGTGAGCTTCGACAGCAACTCTGGTGACCGGTAAACTTTTCGACGAACTTTTCGCGCGTACAATGTCGGATTGTTGCGAGGCCAATGAGGTTCGACTTGTTTCGACGAGAGGAATCCAATGGTGCAATCAGAATTTGATTTTGAGTTCGTTTAGAACCCGTATGAACCAAAAACAGTGAGTTAGAAAAAATTTTCGGCGACGCAACCAAAGCTTTGATACCATTTGTTGGATACCCAGGGCCAGAAAAATACCACAAACAAGATATAAACAAAGAAGATATCTCTATTTCTCGCTGAAATAAAATACAAGAATTATTACAAAATTCTCACTGAGATCTCTCCCTCTCTCTATTTCTTCCCCACTGAACTTGAACCATGCCATTTGCCTTCACTAAGCTTCCTATTTATAGGGAGTTTTCTGACCAAATAAGTCAAGGAGAAGGGAACACAATTTAAAGCTTGGGCAATCTTTGTCAAAGCTTCACCTGTCCACCGCCAACCAGTTGACTGACAAGCTGTCCATAGGGTGGCTACCGACATGAGCTACTGGGTAGCCTTCTGATGGAGTTGGACCTTCAAAGAAAAGGCATTTAGGTAGGAAAATGAGGTGTTGAAAGCATAGTTGAGGAGATCCAGGGAGGAAAACACCCATGACAAGGGCCAAACCATCGACGTAGGACCTGAGCAGGGCATAAACACAGAAATGACGCCCCTAAACAGGGCAAACAGAGAAGAAGACAAAACTCTTGGGATATTAATCACTGGAGAAAAACTTATCACAAAGAGAACCAAGAAGATGCTTGAAAGTGCTTCATTACAGAAGAACTCAATAGTAGGTTAAGGCGACTCGAGCAAAAGTATGCTAGGGAATTAGCAAATTCGTCATCTCAAATCGTCATTGCTCCAGTGATTTCTTTCGGTTTATGTCAAGTACAACATTCAATACTATCATTAATGCCTATTATCATTCTTTTCAATTCTATTTCATTTTGCTTTCTTAGTTCGGTAATTTATTTTAAAAAATAATAATTTAAATCCTTGATCTCCAAGATAAAAAAAGAATCTAGAAATAATTTTACGCATCGTTTCAATTGCTTGAATAGTCACAATTAAGAACTTCAAGTCAAAGGTAAAGATATCAAGTCTATGCACAATATCCAACATTGCTTATAAGAATAGTGTGTGAATTGGTATGGAAATTGTACCGCCAAAAAAATTTCAGTATCATACCTCCAAAATTTACTATTTTTAGGGGCATTTTATTAATTTTTATAGGTCATTTTATAACTAAAAAATACCATTTTTGGTGGTTAATTTATCACTTTTATGAATATTTTTATCACTGTTGTGGATATTTTTTATCATATTTGTGATAACTATTTTTACCATTGTACTTAGGTACCAACAAAAATTATCACTTTTGTGGGTGATTTATCACATTTGTGGGTATTTTTACCACATTTGAGGATGTTTTTATCATTATTATGTAACTATTTTTATCATTATTTTTAGTACCATAATAATAATAAAAATACTCATAAATATAATAAAAATAACCACAAATACAATTAAAGAAAGGTATGATACTAAAAAAGAAATTCGATACTGGAATCAAATCCCAAATGGGTATCCTACCGTCCAAAGCATCTCATTTCGTGCAAGTGATGAGTTATGCATCATTTTTATATTTAAAAAAACGCAAACCATCACGGCAAAATTGGTGTGGGTCTCCATTACTTTGTTAAATGTCAATGAGAACACCTTTTGTTCCATTGGTGCCTCTTTCACGCCTGTGCTAAAAGTGTCTAAATATGATGTACATAACCTTTCAAGCCATAACCAATTAGTTTTGAAATAGATATCTTAAATTTTTTTTTTTTTGGGAAGTGGGTGATGGAGAGAGATTTGAATTCTTAACCTTAAAAAGACAAAACTTTCACAAGACAATGAATACCATTAAACTAAAAATCCGTTGATAGGTATTCTAACTAAATATTGGAGTTGGACGTGAAAAGACTTTACGACAAGACTCAATTTCATTGATTTGGTAGTTGATTCTCCCTTCGTTTGCAGTCACATGAGAACATATTTTGCCTTATGATTATTCAGGTTACTACTCAATGTGTAAGTTGTGGCCATACGTGCGAGAAAAATTAGATCTTGTCTCACATCGATATATAATAATATTTCTTAAATTCGCATATGAATTTCCAAAGTTTTTTTCACACGTTGTGAATTAGTCTTAAGTTTGATATCTCATATAATATTCAATAATCAAGCATTAAATCCAAATCTACAAATAGTTCCTCTCTCTCTCCCCTCCCCCAGGTATAAAAATTTTGTCACTGTATACACATTGAAATTTTACCTAATTTCCTCCAGAAAATTTTGGATGCGTCACAATCCGTATAGTTTGGAATTAAGTCTAGTTAGCAATAAGGGAAATCAATCATTCTTATATTTTGTTTTGGTATGATGAAAAAATAAAAAATTGAAAATATATATAAAACATTGTATTTGGTAAGAAAGAAAAATAAGAACGATGGAAAAGTGGACGAATGATATTTCCTTCTAATTCACCAAAATCAATCCCTCCAATATTAAAAGGAAAACGGATGTAAAATTAATTATTTATGTTAAAATGTATATTATTTGTCTATATATCTTTTGATATATACATATATTATGTATACATTAATTTCATATATAAATATAATGATAAAATATGTATTTATATTTTTTTAAAAAAAATTTAAAATTTAAAATAAAAAAATATTTTTTTCCATCTTATCAAGCATAAAAAAAGAATTAATCATTATTTTTCATCAATCTTACCAAACACAAAGGAAGAAAAGTGTATCATTTTTACTTTCCTTCTTTGAAGGATAGGAANAATCTTACCAAACACAAAGGAAGAAAAGTGTATCATTTTTACTTTCCTTCTTTGAAGGATAGGAAATGTATCTCTCCTGCTTTCCATCTCTCTTACTTTTCATTCTTCATACCAAATGAAATATTAGGGTTAGTGTTTGGCCTCTACTAGTATACATTAATCAACACAGTGTGCACGGGAAGGGGCGGAGCCAGGATTTTGATTTAGTGGGGGCAACCTAAAATTATTAAATTTAAACTATAAATGCAACATTATTTTCATCAAAATTTATATTCTTAATAACCTTTTTTTTTTTATGTATAGTTCCATTAAAAAAAACGTCATTTAGATTTACACAACTCATATATATGAGTGATGTACCAAAAAAAAAAAAGTAACAAAAAAGACTTCACATGAAAAGATCATCTATTTCTTGACTAGAGTCAATTATTCCAATGTTAATTTTCTTACAAGAAATCTATCCATAACTAATTAAAAAAATGAATTTGTCTAATTAAATTCAAATTTAATAGTTCGTTATTAAGTTTGTAACGAATGATATAATGTACTACACATAATCAAAATATAATTCATAAATCCACAATACTTGTGTGTATTTATTGTTGAAATTTTAAATCTAATTCTCTTGTATTTGGGTCTTGTTGTACTGAGTTTTTTAATTGAAACAGACAAGTTTTTGGAGTGGAATTTGTGTGATTCACTACATCAGAATTTTTGTTCTGTTCATACTTTATGTCATGTTGAAATTAAAGTGATACACTACAACAAAAATAGCCACCATTTTGTTTTTCTTGAGTATTGTTCTTGTAGTTTTTGTGAGATAATTGCTTCTATATACCCCAATACCAGCAACTAAGTAAGCTGATTTGTTAATGATTGTACCAAAACTTGCAAGAAATCAAAAGAAGGAAAGAAGCTANTCTATATACCCCAATACCAGCAACTAAGTAAGCTGATTTGTTAATGATTGTACCAAAACTTGCAAGAAATCAAAAGAAGGAAAGAAGCTACGGCTAGTGAAGAAAGGCGTGAAACGAGTGAGCTGTCAAAATTATGTACAATGGTTTGAAAATTACACAAATTTCCCAATACTTTATGAAAATTTTAGTAGAGGCAAGATTCAAATTTTTTTAAAATTCACCTTAGTCCCAAAATTTTTTAAAATTCCAGTGGGGGCAGCTGCCCCCACTGCCCATGCTATATCCGCCTCTACGCACATGCACGACAGCTCATGGTCATGCAAGAGGACAACAAAGATAGGCTTCATTGACACCATTCAATATTTTACTTGCTATATTAGCACATATGAGACATGCCAGACAAAGTCATGCATAAGTGATTAACCCTAATTAATTTATAATTTAATTAAGTTAATAAGTTAATTGTGTTAGTTAAACTAGTCAAATTAGAGTTAGTGTGTGAATTAAGGATAATACATTAATTATTGTTCTTTTCAAGTTTTGTGCGACAAAGCTACAAACTACTGAGTAGTCNTCATAAGTTAATTGTGTTAGTTAATCTAGTCAAATTAGGGTTAGTGTGTGAATTAAGGATAATACATTAATTATTGTTCTTTTCAAGTTTTGTGCGACAAAGCTACAAACTACTGAGTAGTCAATTGTGTCAAAGCTACAAACTACTGGGAGCTAATTGTGTCAAAGCTACAAACTATAGGGTGTCAATTGTCAAAATTATAAACTATATGGTGCAAATTATCAAAGCTAAAAACAAAGGGATATCAACGTGTAATTCAAAGTCGCCAAACAAGACTTTCATCCTCCCTTGTTGCCTATAAATACCACACCTTAGGACTTGTAAAACATCCATCTTTTGGTAGTGGAAAACACTCCAAAAGTATTATTACTTTATTTATTACTTTCCTTTATTANTCTCCAAAAGTATTATTACTTTCCTTTATTATATTATTGCTTTCTTTTAATTTATTGCTTCTTTTACTTTAAGTATTATTTTCTTTTATTATGTTATTGCTTTCTTTTACTTCCATTGTTTGAGCTTCCTTCTTCCTTTAGAGGAGTGAAACTCTTCCACTTTTCTAGAGCTTACCAAAGTTGTGAAGGGTGGAACGTGATGCACTCATTCTTTGTCGAAGATCGGCTCCTTGTGTAATATGTTTGACCTTGTAATTCCTCTACTTGGAANAAACGTGATGCACTCATTCTTTGTCGAAGATCGGCTCCTTGTGTAATATGTTTGACCTTGTAATTCCTCTACTTGGAAGGATGAACATCACTCACTTTTCTAACTTTATCAAAGTTATAAGAGTGAGTAGTTTCTCATTCACTTTTTATAAAGAGGTGATGAATATGTATAAATCATCTGGAAGTTATATTTGTGTATTTCATTTTATTTCAAATTCTTAATTTTAAAGTGGGTATTAAATGTATTCTCTTTTAGTTTATGTTTCTTTGCATTAGCTTAGCTCCAATTTTCATTTCTCCATAATGTCTTCTCATTGCATTGTTGTCTTTACCTTAAGCATGAGTAGCTAAGCCTTTAAGTTGGCTAATCCAATGGAGACCTCCTATTGGGTATG